TAATAAGTAAAAATAGAATTTTAAATTATGTGATATTTTTAATATCAATTTTTTAATTAATTAAAAATTGATTTATGTAAAATAAAAAAAATGCTTTTGAAATTTTTTTTTAAAAGATATTATATTATCAAAATATGATTCATTATGATTAATTGCTTTTTAGCAAGACAGTTTGGCAAGACAGTATTTAGTCATACTGGTCCTTTATAGGCTTAATTTAATTTATTTATTCTGATCGATTGATTTCTCACCATTTAAAATATTATTCACAATACTAAATTAATGAAAATTAGAAAATTCATTTCATACTTAAAAAATTAACTTGTTTATAGATTCTCATTGTGAAGATGTTCCCACCATTAAAACAGGGACGTCACTAGCCTTTACAATCTCAGGGGGCTCAACTAAAAATTTTTTTATGGGGAGCTTCGCCTCCCATCCCCCTATTCCGGCTATTGCCCGGCCTTCGGTTGGGTTTTATAAAAATATATTATACTTTTTAATTGAAATTTCCAAACTATGAACAATTAATTCTTAGCAAACTACATTGACAAAAGGTCATGAAATATAACGTTGTGTTACCATTTTAGACAATGTTTTATAGAATTAGAATGTACTAATATGGAAAAATTAGAAGAAGGGAATATAAATGGCTAGTCTAAATCATAAAACTATATTTTTAGATGTTATGGAAGCTAGATAAGTAATAAGTAATCTATAAAATTATAGTGAGATATTAAATTTCTAAAGATAATCTACTATTTTTAACGATATATAAACGACTCAGTGACCATTGTTGCTCATCTAAATTATGCAATCAAATGCTCTCAGCAGCAAGAATAATAATCTTAAATTATTTAGACACACAAATAATAGATACTGGTTAATTTTCAATCATAGCGACACTCACGATGTGAACTCATATCAGTGTTTATTATGTTTGATAAATAGATAAAATAAAACACTAATAATCTTTAGAATCAGGCGCGTACGCAGGAATTTGGTCTGGGAGCAGGGTTGCCAGGTCAAAATTTTCAAATTGTGGGAGAAATTAGGTATTTTGTTAGAGAAATATAAAAATTGTGGGAGAAATTGCTAAAAAAAGATTTAGAATTGACTTAGTTATCCGCTTATTATTTTTTATAAATATAAAATCTAATCGATTTTCCAAAATAAAATAGGTAATTATTTTTCAAAATAAAATAGCTAACTTTTTTTCAAAATAAAATAGCCAACTATTTTTCAAAATAAAATAGCCAACTATTTTTCAAAATAACTATTTTTCAAAATAAAATAGCCAACTATTTTTCAAAATAAAATAGCCAACTATTTTTCAAAATAAAATAGCCAACTATTTTTCAAAATAAAATAGCCAACTATTTTTCAAAATAAAATAGCCAACTATTTTTCAAAATAAAATAGCCAACTATTTTTCAAGATAAAATAGCCATCTATTTTTCAAAATAAAATATCCAACTATTTTTCAAAATAAAATAGGTAACTCTTTAAAATAAAATAGCCAACTATTTTTCAAAATAAAATAGGTAACTCTTTAAAATAAAATAGGTAACTATTTTCCAAAATAAAATACGCAAATATTTTTCAAAATAGGTAATTACTGTACGACACAAAATTTCTTAGAGTACTATCTTTATTATTAAAATAACATATTGATTTATTATTATATATTAATTTTGTTTAAAAATAATAACCAACGATCTTTTTTAAATACAAAAGAATGTAAACAAGATAAAATTTTATAAAAAAATTGTAATTTTACAATGTAAAAAAATAAATGTATAAATAAGATTTTATAAAAAAACAAACAATTTTAAATTTACAATGTAAAAAATATTTATAATCAGTGCGGGGAAGTTGTTCTACAGTATTTAGTTAATACAATGGGGGAATATGATATTTTGAGGTATCAAAAATCTTCAATGCATAAATCAGTACAGGGCATTCTATCAACATCTATTGCAAAACAAAAATATTCTTCAAAAATAAGAAATAATATAGATGCAACTACAGCTGCGGAAATGGTAAATACCTACATGCAGTACAACATTCAGAGAGTTACTCAACATCTCAATGTTGGTTGAATCTTTCCCCATAATATTTAACGACTAATATAAATGAAAAGTATACTTTGTAGAACACAAATGAGCAAGGCTATCATCAATGTTATAGGATATAAATCCAGAAGGTCAATTCTTGACGATTTGATAGATGTGCAAACATATGCAATTCTAACAAATTCATCTAATAAGGAGATATCAAAACATTTTCCTTGATCCTCCCCTATTTCAACAAAATTAATGTCATTTCAATAAAACTATTAAAAAAATTTTCTCTAGATATGAAATATCCAAAGACATAGCTAACCATATATAATGGTAAATATGGCAGATTTGGCAATACCAATGAATTGCATGGCAGCTTTCTGATCTGATAATTCCTCAGTGAATTTGGCAAAAACCAGAGTGTATTTACAGATTTGAGTCAGCATAATGTTGTTTGACAGGTTCCTCCTAATACACGCCATCGTAGAATTTCAAAATTTTACAAACCTTTAAAAAATAAATATATTATAAAAACTGCCCTAATATTTTGAAAAAAATTTTCAAAAATAAATGGCAGAAGTATATTTAGGAATTTTACATATAGGAAATCTACTATATGCTGTTAATATGCAGTTGCAATCAGAAGAATATAATTTAATAAAGGTTCACTAAATTATGCTGCAGAAATACCAAAGTAAGAATATTATTACTCTTATCGGATAATTATTAATAAGATTTAATATCATGTCATGTTTGAGGAGATTGTAATGCTTCTTTATTTTTATGATTTGCCAAAATATTCAAAATATTAATTTTACAATGTAAAAAATTAATTTATTTGATTTTATGCAAATGTAAAAATAAGATTTTATAAAATATAGAAAGTCAAATAGTTATAGTTAATTATATTTTATTTGAGATTTAAATAATGGAACTAAACGTTTACCGTCGTTATTAAGATATTTATAAGATTCCTGGCATGACATTTTATAATTTTGTTTAACCATTAACTCGGCCTCTAATGTTGTTTAAGCAATTCGATTTCTCTCCTTTCTCCGGGCAGTCCTCATCAGGCTAAAAATGCGTTCGGATGAGGCATTAGAATGAGGTAAGGAGAAAACATACTCACAAATTTTTCCCAAGCATGGGGATTTATCGTTATTACAAAAAAATTTCACCCATTTCTCCTCTGCTTTTAGACCATCTAACTTTAAGTATTCTGGCGAATCATAAAAAATGGAAAAAATTACAATCTCTTAAAACAAGGCTTCAATGTCTATCGGTAATTTTAATATATTTATTAAATTACAAAAACCATCAAATGATGGTTTCTGTTCCAAGGTCATAATATTTAAACATTTGTAAATAGAGTTATTAAAATCAAATTTTGATTGTAAATATTCTAAAATTGTCTTAATAAAAATATCTGCTTCATTTAAAAATGTATTAATTAGAGTATTATTTGAACATTTTATTATAATATTTTTAGCAATAGCGCCATAAAATTTATTATCTATTTTTAACTGTAGAGATGAACAGAGCTGTAGCATGATTTTGTGAATCTTTATCAATAAGGAATCTTCTGATTGCAACTGAATATTAACTACATGAAGTAGATTTCCTACATGTGAAACTAATCCCAAATATGCTTCTGACATTTCAACCTCAATTTCAAAATTTTAGGACAGCTTTTAAAATCTTTATTTAAGAAGTATTTCTTTAATGGTTCGTAAAATTTTAAAATTCTCTCGATGGCAGGTATTAATGATAACCACCTGATAGGTACATATCGTAACAACTAACACCATTCCAAATCAGATCACTCCACCAATTCTTTTAATTCAGTGACTCTTTTAGTTGGTGAACTAAATTCGTTAAAACATTACAATTACTTCGATATATACAGATAGTACATTCATTGCCTTCTTGCAAGAATTATGCAGTATATGGCATATACAGCCAATTGGTATTAATTCATTATTGAGCTGCCTCAATTCTTGAATAATATATCAATTATATTTATAATCTTTTGCTTGACATATACTTTATGGAATAGTATAAAAGTAAGTAGTGAAAAATATTATTTAATCAATATTATTCATCCACTAAATTTATTTAAAAGAATTAGAGATATTCTTCTAACACAAAAATTTTGAAAATGTCGAGTGGAGCACTGCAATTCTAGATAACGATATAAAATATATTAAGTAATTTAAAATATATTTATAATAATTATACATACTGTTCTAACTTCTATTCTTTCTAACACAAAAATTTTGAAAATGTCTAGTGGAGAATTGGATAATTTTATAAAAAATATATTTTAGAGCGGGAAAATAAAATAAAAGAACTAGACATATTTTTCGAATAAATATTTTAAAAAAATATAAAAATAATCACATACTGTCTCTCAAAATTATTATTTATATATTAAAAACATTAAAATGCTAAAAAAAAAATTGTGGGAGAAATTAAAAAATTGTGGGAGCTTTTTGTGGGAGATTTCTAATTGTGGGAGTTTTGTGGGAGTGAGATGTATGTGGGTAAACTAAAAAATTGTGGGAGACTCCCACTGATGGGGGGAGATATGGCATCCCTGATTGCAAATAAAAAATTATTTTTCCTTATATTATATTATCCAGTTTATTTTATCAATAAAAAAAATATAGATTAAATAAATTAAAACATTTCTAAGACTTCAGATAAATTTAGCTTAATCTTACCTTTTTATTTTTTGAAGAATTTCATAACTTAATATTATGAGATTATTAATCTTATGATGAAAATCAATAATTGTTTATTATAAATTAATAAATAGAAATAATATTCATGAATTACAAAAAGGATTTATAGATATTATTTATATTTAAATATATATAGTTACAATATATATCTAATATCATTTAAATTAAAAAAGATTATATAGATATATTTATTGTCCTTTAAATAGAATGGTTTTGGTCAGCTTCTGACGAATGTTGGTATTTTCATTTTGTTTATCTGCAAAATGATAAAATCTTATGTTTATGTAACGTTCTATTAATCTAATTAATTTTTGATAATGGCTAGATGTTTCTTCTTGATCTAGCATCAGATTATCAAAAATATTTGTTTCTATCACTTTTGAAATCACAAAAGATACTATTCGTTTAAATATACAAGGCCTTTTAATTTGATTATTATGTTCAAATGTACGGAAACCACTTTCAGTATTGGCATAATCTAGATACATCTCTGGAAGGAATTATTAATCCCTGATTGTTTTTAATTTTAATTAAATTATAGCTCTCTTGATCTTTACAATTTTTAACAATCATTGCAGAAATACATATATAACACTTTACCTTATTTTCGGATATAAGTTTACGTGTTATATATCCTGATATATAAGTTGCGATGTTATCAACGAATGGCGATAATTTTTGGATATCTGGAACATCTATAAAAGAAAAATCTATAGCTTGTATATTGTCATCATCATTATCTTGATAATCTCCACATTTGTATTATCGAATGGAATACAATTACCTGTGCATAAGGCTCCCATCTTTGCTATCATAACGCCTCTTATAGCTGATCGTAATTGATAGGCAGAAGGGTTATTATTAAAACCTCCTCTGCTTCGTAAACAGCTAAAGAAGAGCTCTAGATGATCTTGAGATGTTTTGTAGGTTAAAATATCTAAAATATGAAAAGCAATAAATATACAAAATATATATAATGCTAAATAAAATACTTGAGTTTGGGGTTAGGTCCTAATAATAATTCCCTCCCAATTCCCAAAATGCTTTTCATTGACAAGATTAAGCCTATAATGCAGACTTTTTTTTTGATCTATAAACGTATTTTCCACTTTCAAACTTTAAGGATTTTAAAGTTGTAATGCACATCTCAAAAAAATTTTCATAATAAGAAAGTGAATTTGTAGTTAGAGGTTTTTTAAACCCTTTAGCAACTAGATTCCATGTATTTAAAAAGTCAAACATTCTATAAAAATATTATTTAAAATATTAATATATTTTAATACTGATCAATCATTTGAATAAAGTCAACTGTGCTCTCACAATTTTCAAACCCATCAATCTTTAGCTCTTGTGCCAAAAGAATACCTTTTGTAACTGAGCTACTAAAAACTTGTACAGCAAGTTTAACCTTTAAAAAAAAATATAAGTATTACTTTCATTTTTTGTTTGTGATAGTCAATATGAGATTTATTAATTTTATTAGCAGCACGAAGTCCTTCTTTATCTTGTAAATTGTGAAGATTAGCTATATATTTCCAATTAATTATCTATTAATTTATAAAAATATATATTTTAATAGTAATTTAATTTACTGATCCATTATTATAAATTAAAATTTTTTTATCACCGAGAAGATTACTCAACAACTTAATCATGTGGCATACGTCCAACATAATGTAGACTTTTTCATCAAAATTTAATGGGTGAGTAAAATAGGGTATACATAGATCAGGATCAGGGTTGCCATGCCTCCCCCCATCAGTGGGAGTCTCCCACAATTTTTTAGTTTACCCACATACATCTCACTCCCACAAAACTCCCACAATTAGAAATCTCCCACAAAAATCTCCCACAATTTTTTAATTTCTCCCACAATTTTTTTTTTAGCATTTTAATGTTTTTAATATATAAATAATAATTTTGAGAGACAGTATTTGATTATTTTTAAAATAAATTTTAAATATTTATTCGAAAAATATGTCTAGTTCTTTTATTTTATTTTTCCGCTAATCTCCATCCAACCAATCCAATCCATTCGACATTTTCAAAATTTGAAGTTAGAAAAGTATGTATAATTATTATAAATATATTTTAAATTACTTAATATATTTTATATCGTTATCTAGATTCTATAATTGCAGTGCTCCACTCGACATTTTCATAGAAGAATAGAACTTTTAGAAGTGAACAATAATACCAAACAGATTTAAGTAATAAAATGTTCTATTTTGCTAATAATTTTATCTTACTGTAAAATTAAAATATTATATTAAGCACTAAACATTCATAAAATTTTCATAATAAATGATTTTAAATGGCTGTTAACAACACATATGGTTTTTATGATTATCATGTCATCTTTTATACAAACATCCTTTTTTTATCACACATTTCTCATCATTTTATAATAAAACCAAATAAAATCTTACTTTTTATAACATGCTACAATTTGAATTATTCTCTTACAAATAAAAATGTACATTGATATTTTTTAGCTTCATTAGTTTATAAAATCTATTTCAAATTAGATTGAATCTTTTTGTAAATAATAAATAACATACTTTTTCTTATAACTATAATATTCATTGTTTAAATTTATTAAAATCAATGTAAGATATAAATATTTTTATATATAAATAATTAATATTTATTATAAATAGGCAAATATATATATAATATTGAAAATATAACAAGTATAAGCTTAGAAAGTACTTGTTTTGTTAATCAATAAACTGGATATTAATGTATAGTAATATAATTAAATGAATGTATGTTAAAAAATTACTTTTACTCTATAATATGCCCCAGTCCTAGGCAAATTTTTTAATATGATTTTTACATTTATTTAAATAATTATTATCATTTTGATATAAATCAAAAAAATCATTTTTTTAAATCAAGATTTATGCTAACCCTATATTTCTCACTTTTAATTTTTCTCTCAATTAATAAACATAGCATATTAACCTCAATCAGTTTAATTTATAATCTTTAAGTTTAATAAGGAGAGGAGACCAAAATAGTTATGTAAAATTTGTGTTTTTAAATATTAAATACCTGATTCAGTTTAATTTATAATCTTGAGGTTTAATAAGGAGACCAAAATAGTTATGCTTATGGAATGGACAACAAAAATAGGACATTTTTTTGGCAAGAAAAAAAAGAAGGTTGCACCATCCTTTGCGTATTTGATTTTAAACTTTAATGTTGATTTTCTCATTTTAAACATTGGCAGTTGGCACAAGTGGATCACTCCAATTCTAGATCGACGATAAGCTGTGTATAAATAATAGTACAAAAGCAGTTTTTTTTGAAAATAATTTTTATTTTTATATATTTAATTAAAATATATATGTTTTATTGTCCAAAAAGCAACATCATATTTGGTATTGGCACCTCAACAACCTCAACTGGTATGAAACAAAAATCAATTAAGAATTTCTTCAAGAAATCAGTGCCAGTGATTCCTGAGGTGGTGGAACTTAAGCATCTTTGTGATCGTGTTCGTGGTATGTATAATTAATGTATATAGTATGTATAATTATAAATATATAATAGTACATAAACAGTTTATATTGAAAATAATTTTTCTTTTTATATATTTAATTATAACATTTTATTGTCCAAAAAACAACATCAGTATTGGAAACTGCTTTAACCTCTAAACAATCTAAATCTCAAGAAGATGACTATCATGGTATATATAAATAAAAATATAAAATATGTATAATATTTAGGATTTCTTAAGCTTATATTAAAGATGATTAGGATAATAATATTTTCTAAGTTCCACTTTCATTGCTAATTTTTAAAAATATTACTTCTAATATTAATAATATATTTTTTAAAATATAATAGTATATAAGTAATTTATATTGAAAATAATTTTTCTTTTTATATATTTAATTATAACATTTTATTGTCCAAAAAACAACATCAGTATTGGAAACTGCTTTAACCTCTAAACAATCTAAATCTCAAGAAGATGACTATCATGGTATATATAAATAAAAATATAAAATATGTATAATATTTAGGATTTCTTAAGCTTAGATTTAAGATGATTAGGATAATAATATTTTCTAAGTTCCACTTTCATTGCTAATTTTTAAAAATATTACTTCTAATATTAATAATATATTTTTTAAAATATAATAGTATATAAGTAATTTATATTGAAAATAATTTTTCTTTTTATATATTTAATTATAACATTTTATTGTCCAAAAAACAACATCAGTATTGGAAACTGCTTTAACCTCTAAACAATCTAAATCTCAAGAAGATGACTATCATGGTATATATAAATAAAAATATAAAATATGTATAATATTTAGGATTTCTTAAGCTTAGATTTAAGATGATTAGGATAATAATATTTTCTAAGTTCCACTTTCATTGCTAATTTTTAAAAATATTACTTCTAATATTAATAATATATTTTTTAAAATATAATAGTATATAAGTAATTTATATTGAAAATAATTTTTCTTTTTATATATTTAATTATAACATTTTATTGTCCAAAAAACAACATCAGTATTGGAAACTGCTTTAACCTCTAAACAATCTAAATCTCAAGAAGATGACTATCATGGTATATATAAATAAAAATATAAAATATGTATAATATTTAGGATTTCTTAAGCTTAGATTAAAGATGATTAGGATAATAATATTTTCTAAGTTCCACTTTCATTGCTAATTTTTAAAAATATTACTTCTAATATTAATAATATATTTTTTAAAATATAATAGTATATAAGTAATTTATATTGAAAATAATTTTTCTTTTTATATATTTAATTATAACATTTTATTGTCCAAAAAACAACATCAGTATTGGAAACTGCTTTAACCTCTAAACAATCTAAATCTCAAGAAGATGACTATCATGGTATATATAAATAAAAATATAAAATATGTATAATATTTAGGATTTCTTAAGCTTAGATTAAAGATGATTAGGATAATAATATTTTCTAAGTTCCACTTTCATTGCTAATTTTTAAAAATATTACTTCTAATATTAATAATATATTTTTTAAAATATAATAGTATATAAGTAATTTATATTGAAAATAATTTTTCTTTTTATATATTTAATTATAACATTTTATTGTCCAAAAAACAACATCAGTATTGGAAACTGCTTTAACCTCTAAACAATCTAAATCTCAAGAAGATGACTATCATGGTATATATAAATAAAAATATAAAATATGTATAATATTTAGGATTTCTTAAGCTTAGATTAAAGATGATTAGGATAATAATATTTTCTAAGTTCCACTTTCATTGCTAATTTTTAAAAATATTACTTCTAATATTAATAATATATTTTTTAAAATATAATAGTATATAAGTAATTTATATTGAAAATAATTTTTCTTTTTATATATTTAATTATAACATTTTATTGTCCAAAAAACAACATCAGTATTGGAAACTGCTTTAACCTCTAAACAATCTAAATCTCAAGAAGATGACTATCATGGTATATATAAATAAAAATATAAAATATGTATAATATTTAGGATTTCTTAAGCTTAGATTTAAGATGATTAGGATAATAATATTTTCTAAGTTCCACTTTCATTGCTAATTTTTAAAAATATTACTTCTAATATTAATAATATATTTTTTAAAATATAATAGTATATAAGTAATTTATATTGAAAATAATTTTTCTTTTTATATATTTAATTATAACATTTTATTGTCCAAAAAACAACATCAGTATTGGAAACTGCTTTAACCTCTAAACAATCTAAATCTCAAGAAGATGACTATCATGGTATATATAAATAAAAATATAAAATATGTATAATATTTAGGATTTCTTAAGCTTAGATTAAAGATGATTAGGATAATAATATTTTCTAAGTTCCACTTTCATTGCTAATTTTTAAAAATATTACTTCTAATATTAATAATATATTTTTTAAAATATAATAGTATATAAGTAATTTATATTGAAAATAATTTTTCTTTTTATATATTTAATTATAACATTTTATTGTCCAAAAAACAACATCAGTATTGGAAACTGCTTTAACCTCTAAACAATCTAAATCTCAAGAAGATGACTATCATGGTATATATAAATAAAAATATAAAATATGTATAATATTTAGGATTTCTTAAGCTTAGATTAAAGATGATTAGGATAATAATATTTTCTAAGTTCCACTTTCATTGCTAATTTTTAAAAATATTACTTCTAATATTAATAATATATTTTTTAAAATATAATAGTATATAAGTAATTTATATTGAAAATAATTTTTCTTTTTATATATTTAATTATAACATTTTATTGTCCAAAAAACAACATCAGTATTGGAAACTGATTTAACCTCTAAACAATCTAAATCTCAAGAAGATGACTATCATGGTATATATAAATAAAAATATAAAATATGTATAATATTTAGGAAATTTATTTTTATTTTCTTAGATAAGTTCCACTTGCATTCAAATATTAATAATTTATTTAGTAAGGAAATAATTTTTATAATTATGCGCATTCTATATTTTTAACTATCGTATTAAAATTAATGACAAATATTCTTAATTTACATTTGAAAATAATTATATAGGAATAAAAGCTTTAAAACGTATGTCTCCAAAATATTCGCCGTCTATATCCGATTCGGATGAAACTGGAGATCTTTCTGAAAATAGTATTTATTTTTTATAATTTTTGAAAATAAGCATATAAAATTAGGATATGTTTTTAGTTCATATAAATCATTTTTTTAATAAAATAGCACTTTGATAATTAATTTTGCTTTAAATATCCTAACAAAATTGATTATCTTTTTATATTTTATATACTATAGAATCCGAGAAAGTCAATAAAAGAAGAAAATATATATGTAAATATAACAAGATATGGGAGCAAAAATATGTTTGGTTGATGAGGCTTACAGGTAGCCATGCTAAATGTAGAATATGTCTTACAGTATTTAGTTACTACAATGGGGGGAATATGATATTTTGCGACACCAAAAATCGTCAAAGCATAAGTCAGTACAGGGGAGTCTATCAACGTCTATTGCAATACAAAAATATTCTCCAATAATAAATAATAGAGATGCAACTACAATTGCGGAAACTGTATATTCATATCATGTAGTTCAACATTCACAGAGCTGTCATCACAATGTGGGTCGAATCTCTTCCCCATAATATTTAACGACTCCAAAATAAGTGCTAACTTTACTTGTGGTAGGACAAAAATGAGCAAGGCTATCACAAATGTGTTAGGATTCCAAAATTGTCTTAATAAAAATATTTGCTTCATTTAAAAATACGTTAATTATAGTTATATTTGAACATTTTAATATGATATTTTTAGCAATAGCGCCATAAAATTTATTATCTATTTTTAACTGTAGAGATGAACAGAGCTGTAGCATAATTTTGTGAATCTTTATCAATAAAGAATCTTCTGATTGCAACTGAATATTAACTACATGAAGTAGATTTCCTACATGTGAAACTAATCCTAAATATGCTTCTGACATTTCATCTTCGAAAAAATTTTTCAAAATTTTTGGACAGCTTTTAAAATCTTTATTTAAGAAGTATTTCTTTAAGGGTTCGTAAAATTTTAAAATTCTCTCGATGGCAGGTATTAATGATAACCACCTGATAGGTACATATCGCAACAACTCACACCATTCCAAATCAGACCACTCCACTAATTCTTTTAATTCAGTGACTCTTTTAGTTGATGAACTAAATTCGTTAAAACATTTCATCACAATTATTTCGACATCTACAGATAGTGCATTCATTGCCTTCTTGCAAGAATTATGCAGTATATGGCATATACAGCCAATTGGTATTAATTCATTATTGTGCTGCCTCAATTCGGTAAATACACTTTGATTTTTGCCAAAATTAACAGAGGCATTATCAGCGCAGAAAGCTGACATGCAACTCATTGATAACCCTGAATCAGCTATATTTAGCATTATGTGGTTAGCTATATCGTTGGATTTTTCACTATCGGATGAAAAAAATTTCAATAGTTTTATAGAAATGCCCTTATTCTTGTTGAAATAGCGAAGGATCAGGGGAAATGTTTTAATATTTCCCTTATTTGATGCATCTGTTAAAATAGCATATGGATGCCCTTCTTTCAAATCGTCTAGAATTGACCTCTTGGATTCATGTCCTAACACATTTGTGATAGCCTTGCTCATTTTTGTCCTACCACAAGTAAAGTTAGCACTTATTTTGGAGTCGTTAAATATTATGGGGAAGAGATTCGACCCACATTGTGATGACAGATAGCTCTGTGAATGTTGAACTACATGATATGAATATACAGTTTCCGCAATTGTAGTTGCATCTGTATTATTTATTATTGGAGAATATTTTTGTATTGCAATAGACGTTGATAGACTCCCCTGTACTGACTTATGCTTTGACGATTTTTGGTGTCGCAAAATATCATATTCCCCCCATTGTAGTAACTAAATACTGTAAGACATATTCTACATTTAGCATGGCTACCTGTAAGCCTCATCAACCAAACATATTTTTGCTCCCATATCTTGTTATATTTACATATATATTTTCTTCTTTTATTGACTTTCTCGGATTCTATAGTATATAAAATATAAAAAGATAATCAATTTTGTTAGGATATTTAAAGCAAAATTAATTATCAAAGTGCTATTTTATTAAAAAAATGATTTATATGAACTAAAAACATATCCTAATTTTATATGCTTATTTTCAAAAATTATAAGAAATAAATACTATTTTCAGAAAGATCTCCAGTTTCATCCGAATCGGATATAGACGGCGAATATTTTGGAGACATACGTTTTAAAGCTTTTATTCCTATATAATTATTTTCAAATGTAAATTAAGAATATTTGTCATTAATTTTAATTCGATAGTTAAAAATAAAGAATGCGCATAATTATAAAAATTATTTCCTTACTAAATAAATTATTAATATTTGAATGCAAGTGGAACTTATCTAAGAAAATAAAAATAAATTTCCTAAATATTATAAATATTTTATATTTTTATTTATATATACCATGATAGTCATCTTCTTGAGATTTAGATTGTTTAGAGGTTAAATCAGTTTCCAATACTGATGTTGTTTTTTGGACAATAAAATGTTATAATTAAATATATAAAAAGAAAAATTATTTTCAATATAAATTACTTATATACTATTATATTTTAAAAAATATATTATTAATATTAGAAGTAATATTTTTAAAAATTAGCAATGAAAGTGGAACTTAGAAAATATTATTATCCTAATCATCTTTAATCTAAGCTTAAGAAATCCTAAATATTATACATATTTTATATTTTTATTTATATATACCATGATAGTCATCTTCTTGAGATTTAGATTGTTTAGAGGTTAAAGCAGTTTCCAATACTGATGTTGTTTTTTGGACAATAAAATGTTATAATTAAATATATAAAAAGAAAAATTATTTTCAATATAAATTACTTATATACTATTATATTTTAAAAAATATATTATTAATATTAGAAGTAATATTTTTAAAAATTAGCAATGAAAGTGGAACTTAGAAAATATTATTATCCTAATCATCTTAAATCTAAGCTTAAGAAATCCTAAATATTATACATATTTTATATTTTTATTTATATATACCATGATAGTCATCTTCTTGAGATTTAGATTGTTTAGAGGTTAAAGCAGTTTCCAATACTGATGTTGTTTTTTGGACAATAAAATGTTATAATTAAATATATAAAAAGAAAAATTATTTTCAATATAAATTACTTATATACTATTATATTTTAAAAAATATATTATTAATATTAGAAGTAATATTTTTAAAAATTAGCAATGAAAGTGGAACTTAGAAAATATTATTATCCTAATCATCTTAAATCTAAGCTTAAGAAATCCTAAATATTATACATATTTTATATTTTTATTTATAACCATGATAGTCATCTTCTTGAGATTTAGATTTTTTAGAGGTTAAAGCAGTTTCCAATACTGATGTTGTTTTTTGGACAATAAAATGTTATAATTAAATATATAAAAAGAAAAATTATTTTCAATAAAAATTACTTATATACTATTATATTTTAAAAAATATATTATTAATATTAGAAGTAATATTTTTAAAAATTAGCAATGAAAGTGGAACTTAGAAAATATTATTATCCTAATCATCTTTAATCTAAGCTTAAGAAATCCTAAATATTATACATATTTTATATTTTTATTTATATATACCATGATAGTCATCTTCTTGAGATTTAGATTGCTTTGAGGTTAAAGCACTAGTTTCCAATACTGATGTTGTTTTTTGGACAATAAAATGTTATAATTAAATATATAAAAAGAAAAATTATTTTCAATATAAACTGTTTATGTACTATTATATATTTATAATTATACATACTATATACATTAATTATACATACCACGAACACGATCACAAAGATGCTTAAGTTCCACCACCTCAGGAATCACTGGCACTGATTTCTTGAAGAAATTCTTAATTGATTTTTGTTTCATACCAGTTGAGGTTGTTGAGGTGCCAATACCAAATATGATGTTGCTTTTTGGACAATAAAACATATATATTTTAATTAAATATATAAAAATAAAAATTATTTTCAAAAAAAACTGCTTTTGTACTATTATTTATACACAGCTTATCGTCGATCTAGAATTGGAGTGATCCACTTGTGCCAACTGCCAATGTTTAAAATGAGAAAATCAACATTAAAGTTTAAAATCAAATACGCAAAGGATGGTGCAACCTTCTTTTTTTTCTTGCCAAAAAAATGTCCTATTTTTGTTGTCCATTCCATAAGCATAACTATTTTGGTCTCCTTATTAAACCTCAAGATTATAAATTAAACTGAATCAGGTATTTAATATTTAAAAACACAAATTTTACATAACTATTTTGGTCTCCTCTCCTTATTAAACTTAAAGATTATAAATTAAACTGATTGAGGTTAATATGCTATGTTTATTAATTGAGAGAAAAATTAAAAGTGAGAAATATAGGGTTAGCATAAATCTTGATTTAAAAAAATGATTTTTTTGATTTATATCAAAATGATAATAATTATTTAAATAAATGTAAAAATCATATTAAAAAATTTGCCTAGGACTGGGGCATATTATAGAGTAAAAGTAATTTTTTAACATACATTCATTTAATTATATTACTATACATTAATATCCAGTTTATTGATTAACAAAACAAGTACTTTCTAAGCTTATACTTGTTATATTTTCAATATTATATATATATTTGCCTATTTATAATAAATATTAATTATTTATATATAAAAATATTTATATCTTACATTGATTTTAATAAATTTAAACAATGAATATTATAGTTATAAGAAAAAGTATGTTATTTATTATTTACAAAAAGATTCAATCTAATTTGAAATAGATTTTATAAACTAATGAAGCTAAAAAATATCAATGTACATTTTTATTTGTAAGAGAATAATTCAAATTGTAGCATGTTATAAAAAGTAAGATTTTATTTGGTTTTATTATAAAATGATGAGAAATGTGTGATAAAAAAAGGATGTTTGTATAAAAGATGACATGATAATCATAAAAACCATATGTGTTGTTAACAGCCATTTAAAATCATTTATTATGAAAATTTTATGAATGTTTAGTGCTTAATATAATATTTTAATTTTACAGTAAGATAAAATTATTAGCAAAATAGAACATTTTATTACTTAAATCTGTTTGGTATTATTGTTCACTTCTAAAAGTTCTATTCTTCTATGAAAATGTCGAGTGGAGCACTGCAATTATAGAATCTAGATAACGATATAAAATATATTAAGTAATTTAAAATATATTTATAATAATTATACATACTTTTCTAACTTCAAATTTTGAAAATGTCGAATGGATTGGATTGGTTGGATGGAGATTAGCGGAAAAATAAAATAAAAGAACTAGACATATTTTTCGAATAAATATTTAAAATTTATTTTAAAAATAATCAAATACTGTCTCTCAAAATTATTATTTATATATTAAAAACATTAAAATGCTAAAAAAAAAATTGTGGGAGAAATTAAAAAATTGTGGGAGATTTTTGTGGGAGATTTCTAATTGTGGGAGTTTTGTGGGAGTGAGATGTATGTGGGTAAACTAAAAAATTGTGGGAGATTTTTGTGGGAGATTGTGGGAGATTTCTAATTGTGGGAGTTTTGTGGGATGAGATGTATGTGGGTAAACTAAAAAATTGTGGGAGACTCCCACTGATGGGGGGGAGGCATGGCAACCCTGTCTGGGAGGGGGGGATAATAAAATCTTTTAAGAAATATTATTGTTTTTTAAAAATATCAAGCATAAATTTATTAGGACTAATAACTATTTCTAATACACAATTTTAAATTAATGTGAATTATAAAAAAATTATCTGTAAAGAATCACTTAAATGACCCAAAATAGAAATTTGAATTTTTTGAGCCTATACAAAAAAGGGTTCTTAGGAATAATTGCATTTTGTATGTTATACATTTACAATGTAAAATCCAATCTTCGTTGTGATTGAGCTAATTTTCAATTATCTCAACCTTACTTGTCGTCAAATGCCTATGAATATTCAAAAGATCCAACCTTTCAATCTACTTTCAGATGTTGTACATTTTGATATGTTTTTCAGAGACCTGCAGGCCCGGCCCCCTGGCCGGACATTATTTTATTTTTTTTAAATATACAATTTATTTTAAAAAAATCTGGGCTGGGCCTGAAAATTTTATTTTAAAAAAAGCCGGGCTGGGCCTGAAAATTTTATTTTAAAAAAAGCCGGGCCGGGTCTGAAATTTTTTTAAAAAAACCTAGGCCGGGCCGTAAAAAATCTTTAAAAAAATTCCGGGCCGTGCCCTGCAAATGGTACTTCTGCAGGCCTCTGTTATTCTTCTTAAAAAAGAGAATGTTCTCTTATAAGTTTACTAATGGGAAAAGTTTATAAACCCTTTTAATACATTGGGAATTTAATCTAAAATGTGTTTGAAATAATGCAGAGCATCCCATAGCATTTTTTGGGACTATATCAACCATAGTTAATCTTATGAACATAGTTTCAGCTAGTAAGGCTTCATAAGATACTTATAATAAAAATCTAACAAACATTATTTTTTTAACACCATCTAAAAAAGGTTAGCTTTTGTGGAAGTTATTTGCAGATTAGTAAGTGCTGCATGATGAATTAAAAAATTCAATTATTTGGGTTATAAATATATCTGTATTTAAGATATACTCTTCTACTGATCCTATATTAGAGCTTGCCTTGCGACAAGTCGAGGGAGACAAATATTAAACATGTATAGCTCTGCTCTGACTCAACAATAAAATATAAAATATGAAATTCTTCATCAACATTAGCCCTAATTTCCTTGAGTTCTTATAAAATGCTCTCCGCTATCATCTTCTTAATCAAGTTAGTCTTTTTAAAAGTAATACTTAAAATAGTTGTATAATTAAATAATACATTCTAATGAGAAATAAAATTTGAAATAAGCATTGAATCCAATAATTTTCTTGCTTCTGAGGATATATTTCTTTCAGGCCATTGTGATATTTCAGTAATAGCAAATAATTGGCTCTTCTAACTCCTTAAAAGCTGTTACTGCTTGATGGCAGAGACTCTATCTCGTTGGACAATGTTGCAATTTCTTTTTCCCTGTTAGACAAGAAGTTTCAGAAATAATTATTATTTGACTAGAAATTTGAAAATTGTAGATAAATATTACGCCACTAAAAATTTGAAAATAAAAAGTAAATATTACGCCGGAAAACTTAAAATCGAAATTAATTGATAAAATAACTTAGTAGATAAATGTGATAATAAATGTAATTAAATATATATTTAATATGAGATACGAATAAATATTAACAAATATAAATTAATATAAACAATAATATTTTAAAAAAATATATCGGTATCTTCATTTTTTGGCTTTGGAGGGGGGGGGGATTTGTCCCCCCCCCTTCCCGCTGCGTACGTCAATGTTTAGAATAAATAATTATGCAAATATATTGAAGCCATGATTTATTTACATAGTAAGGATGCCATCTTAGAAATGAATTATTTAGTAATTAGAAAATATGGAAGAGTGATATGAAGAAAGCAATTAAGACTTAATATATTATTGTCGCACCACCTCTAGTTGGTATATTATGTCTTAAAATAATAGTAGTTTGTAATTGTTATAGATGTTAAATAAAATGACATTTTTATATTAAATAAAATAAAATAATATATTAATTAAAATAAAATAATATATTAATTAAAATAAAATAATATATTAATTAAAATAAAATAATATATTAATTAAAATAAAATAATATATTAATTAAAATAAAATAATATATTAATTAAAATAAAATAAAATATTAATTATAATAAATTTAAAAAAAAATAATTATAAAAATATAATATAAAATTAATTAAAATAAATTATAATATTATTTAAATTAAATTATATAAATTAAATTATAATATTAATTAAAATAAATTATAATATTATTTAAAAAATTTATAATAAATATAAAATTCGAATAACCTTTTATAAATATATCGCGAGTTCTACTTATGACCTTTTATAAAATATATCGCTAGTTCTACTTATGACCTTTCATAAAATATATCGCGATTTCTACTTATGACCTTTCATAAAATATATCGCGATTTCTACTTATGACCTTTTATAAAATATATTATATTATTTTATAATACTATATAAACTTAAAATTTTAGATATATTGATTTATAATGTAAAAATCATTTTTATTTTAATAAAATATTTTGTTTAATCTTAACTTGTCATCATGTGTTTCCATCATGGTGGCAGCGGAGGGATAAAAAAAGATGGTATCTTCTGATTGATATATCAATGATACTTAAAATTAAATATGAAAATTCTTAAATTAAAATTAAATATAAACTTTAATTAAAACATATGGGCACTTGGCAAACTATAGTTGAAAACTATTTAATTCTTATCCTAGTTATTGAAATATTCAAAGATAAAAATTTCCTGGCTGATATTTTCCTGAAAACTAACATTGATGACGAAAATTCAAACCAAACCCAGGCGAAAAACGATTCTTATAACTCAGATTAAAATGAAAGAATTTTATATGTCAATTTGATAATATAATAATATAGTGCTGATATGATAATATTTATGCCGAAATATGATAAAATATAAGACAAAGAGACAATTCTAAGTTCATAATTTTCGATTAAACCTAACTGTTCCACCTCAGGTTTAGGATTTTCAAGGAGGGGAATGTTATGGAAAATTTAAAGTAATTAATTTAAAAAATAAAAAATTTAAAGCAAATTAAAGATTTAAATAGATATTCGCAATTCGTAAATTAATTTTTAAAGCAAAATATAAATAGAAATATTCATAAATATTGAAATTAAATAATATAAACTTGATGATAATAATAAACTATTCTCAAATTGTGATAACTAAATAAATACCACGATGATGCAAATAAAAAATTTTTTATGTTTAATGGTTTCGATATGGATGATCAAGATACGACGACGATGAAGCTAGTACTAAAAGATATTGATGCCGCTAATTAACATAAAACAAGATCGATAAACAACAAATTAACCCGATGACTAATTCGCGATAACAAATGCCAAAGAAATTAATTGCTATAATAAATTCGACGATCGCGGAAAACAAATGGAGTTCTCAGAGAGGGGAATGTAGGTGTTAAATAAAATGATATATTAAATAAAATAATATATTAATTAAAATAAAATAAAATATTAATTATAATAAATTTAAAAAATAATAATAAAAATATAATATAAAATTAATAAAAATATAATGTAAAATTAATTAAAATAAATTATAAATTAATTAAAATAAATTATAATATTATTTAAAATAAATTATAATATTAATTAAAATAAATTATAATATTAATTAAAATAAATTATAATATTAATTAAAATAATTTATAATAATTATAATATTCGAAGAACCTTTTATAAAATATATCGCTAGTTCTACTTATGAACTTTTATAAAATATATCGCGATTTTTACTAACTTATTTCATTTTATTATATTCAAATTTATATTATTTTATAATACTATATAAACCTAAAATTTTAGATATAATGAATCATAATGTAAAAATCATTTTTATTTCCCGGCCCTAAGCCCGCCCAGGCCGGGCCCTATTTTAAATTATTAAAATATACCCGGACCGGGCCGGGCCTGAAATTTTTTATTTAAAATACCAGGGCCGGGCCGTATTTTTTTAAAAAACTTATACAACATGAATTATTATATTCGTCAATTAGATATGATTATAATGATTATATTTAGTTATGATTAATATAATGTTGGTGAAAGTTAACACTAGCTAACACTCATAGTATCTATTACATAAAATTATAGTTTTCCTGCCATGAAATAAATACGCAAAGGATTAAATATACATTATTATATAATATAATAGAAGATAGTGAGTCAAAAATGACGGGGAATGAGAATTTTCTTACTTTTATGATAGTTGCTACCTCTTATTTGAAAATAATATCCAATTATTATTCTTTTAATCCCTTCCCCCCTTCATGCCTGGTTTAATCCATTAAAACTAAGTGTAAATACTCTGGTTTGGTAAAATTAAATTTAAAGCTTTTACTTGATAATACCAATATTATTTGATAAACATTACTGATCATTTATACCTAATATTAAAAAATTCCCAGGCAAAGTACAAAGCCATAATAATTTTGAAAAATTCTTCCAAGCCCAGTGAATATAATAATTTTGGTAGTTGAGAACTGAAATAAAATATTTAAATAATCATAATGTTAAAAATACAATCAAAATCAGATTTTCATGGGCCTAGGTTTTTTGA